ATGATTGTAGAAATTAAAATTTGTAGAAACAAATTAGGATTGTACTCATGTTTCTAGTTTAATATTTTAATGGAAAACTATTGAGGCAGACTATCTCCAAAGTGCTAATTACCTCTCAGGAGTCTGCTCAGAACGGAGTGTGTGGCCCAGGAGGTCATGTATCTGAGCCACACGCATTGGCAAGCTCGTAGAGCGAGAGAGAGCACGACTGCTCAGAACCATACAACAGTAAGTGGAGTGAGCTAGGAAAGAAGTTCAATGCAATCATTCCAGTTGTGTTGAAGAGTTAATGCCTTCCCACACGGGCTCAAAGGGTCAGCGAGGCAACCGGTGAAGTCATTGCAAGAGCAGAACCATCTAGATTGCTGAAAGCCAGTGGCCTGGATGAGAACGGATCTGATAAAGTGAATGGAAGGCTGCTCTTCTGTAGAGAATGTTGGGATTTGGCGGCATGATGAATTGTGTGTGTAATGTTGAGGGCTGAGGAGTTTCCTCTCTGACCAGACACAGAAAGTGCAGAACATGTAGCAGAAATATCCTCAGCTGTTTCAACTCCTGTCAATAACTTGAGGCTTCTTTATATATCATTACTGGGTGCGCCAGGTCATTAGTAGGATAATGTCATGTGAACGTGGGTGTTGATGAATCTGCCAATTATAGAAAAATCTAGTGTTTCACCATTCTGATGCTGGAATATGTGATTTAAAAAAATATCTACATGCATGATATTGAATGCATCTAAATTTTCTTTTGGACTACGAGTCTTGTTCTTCTTAATCCTTGTGTCTCTATGCCTTGTGGGTTATGTAAATCTTGCTCTCGATATTGGTAACACTTTAAGTTCATATAGAACCTATCACTTTGTATATGTCACCGCGCTCAGTCACAGTCATCCTGGGAGACAGGCAGGATGGGTGTAAATGAGGACATGGGATTCGATTTTTGCTGAAATTGGTCAGACGAGAGACTGTGGGACCCAGAAAAGTTGGGAGCCTGACCCTGACTCCAAAACCTGACCTTTTCCCTGATGACACTGCACCGGCTCAGAACCACCCTCCTGTCCTGTCCCGACCCCCCCACAGTTGCACTGGGAGGCTTCTACTCCCTTTCTAATTCTGCAGGAACAGGAACCTCATTTACCCCCAAGGCTCTTTTCCCCACCTCTTTAATTAGAAAAATATCCATTCAACCCAATCATCAGTTCTAAATAACATCTCAACTTTTCTTCTTCCCGTGGCATATTTCCCAAATGGGGACTCTCTTTGGGCAGTTTCTCTTGGACAGATTCAGTGACTTCTGACACATCATACCTTCCTTGGCCCTTTCTATGACCTCACATTAAAATTCCTTCTATTTGTTTTTTTTTTTTTCCTTTTCAATCTGTCTTCCTTCATACATTAACTCTTCAACATTTAGTGTAAGAGAAAATTATAGCAGTAAAGCCCTGCTGAATAGGAAAGAAAACTGAAATATTTGTTCTATTGTATTAAACTGGATATTATATCTTGAATTTTGTATGCATTAATTATTTTATTTTCTTGCTGAGTTATTTTCCAGAATCCCAAACTTTATTTTTCTCCATTGATGGACATTACTTGGAATGGATTAAATCTAACTTCTAATAATATCATTATTTTAAAACCCCTACTTTGGTGGCCTCTGTAACCTGACGGATCTGGCTGGCTGCAGACATTGGCACCTCCATGTCATGTTTTAGGGCGTTCGCCTGGTCACCATATTCCTCGGGCCAGGCTCTCCTTCTGAGTTTCCTTGTTTCCATCCTCACTGCTCTGTTCTCTCAGAAAGGGCCTCTCTTCCCTGTGTCCTTTTCTAATGCTTTGTGGGGTCTTATCGACATGTTTCTGGACCTTCCTCAAGACCCGTCTCTTTGGGTCCCTTTTGAAACTGTTCTCCTGTGTGTCTCAGTGATTGAAAGCTTCCAGAATTATGGTGAAATATTACTTATGCTGCTTTGCTCCCCATTTACCTCCATTTGTAAGTGCTTGATGTCCCTCATGGAACAAGGGGTGATTGTGCCGTCTTCTTGTGGCCCCAGTGTGAGCTGGTGTAGAACCAGTGGTCAGGTTCCCTGGGGCTGGGAACGTCTTGGTGGGGAAGGCCACTTTCCAATGCAGAAATCATGCTTCTGTTTAGCCTCTGTTCCCAAGGGTCGTCAGTAGTTTGTCTAAAGATCTTCTTCCTCCATTATGGCCTTCACCAACAGAAAACGTAACTGCATTGCCCTAAGTTTGGGTTTCAGGAGGCTGTGTTCAGTCTAGGAGGCCATGGGAGGGAACACACTTTTCAAGTAGGAACATGGAGGAGGATCTAAGAAGCAACATTTCTGTGTTTTTCTAGTACATATACAGAAATGTATATGGTTTAAAAAAAATCTAATAGCATTTGTAATGTCAGTAAGGGACTAATCACAAAATTCCATGTATGATTACCCACATGTAGTACAAGGAGCTGCTAGAGAAGCTAAAATCTGGATAGTTTTCCAACTATTAATATCATAACCATGGTTTATTATCTAAAAAGAAATTTACTGAGTGCCTGTTCTAGGTCACACACTCTTTTAGCATTGGGGGAGTAGTGGAAATAATAGCTAACACTTCTGAAACACGGTCTGTGGTCACGCTTTGCGCATCTAACTCTCGACCTTGTGGCGGGGCCGGAGGCAGGTGCCAGGCGTGCAGCCCTACCTCCAGGCTCCAGCCTCCTGGCACCGATGCAGGAACACGCTCTTTCTCAGCCTCTCAGTGGTTTCCACCTGTTTGATGGCACATTTACAGTCACAAAAATCCCTGTAAATTGTAGCTAGCTAGTTCCTAAGCAGACTAAAGCATAATTACTGGAAGATCACTTCATAAGCAGGAAAGTGCTGTAGAGATTTTTATATCAAATATATTCACTCGGTGCATCATTCTATTTTATTTTCCTTTGTAAGGAGAAATGTGAAAGCAAAAGAATGTCATTTCTAGATGCCACAGGACAGCTCCAGGTGAGGGCGGGTGTGCTCTTGGGTGTGTGGGCCCCGGGGTGGAGAGCCGCTCTGTGGTTAGCCGCGTGCGTGACCGTGAACACAGGGCTCAGTTCTCGGCAGCTCCTCTGTGACTGGGAGGCCCGACCACTCCCACCTCCAAGACATGGCAGCTCTGTGACTAGCTTTGACCTCAAGCCTCCTGGGGTCAGAGGGTGAGTGGCTGTGCCTCTGGATGCTCGTTGGACCTGCTTCCAGCTCAGTGGTCCAGAGGCCACACCCGGAGAAACCCCACTCTAAAGACAAACCTGAGACACATGCCCACATTTTCTTTAAAATGTGTGAGAAGGGTGATTTAACTTGCCAGTGTTAATGTTTATTGTCATGTATTTAGGCTGGAAAGATCCAGAAGAGGAACATTTGGAATATGCTGATTATTTCTAAATTATATTTTAAACCACATGTGACTTTATAGTGAAGGATAAAGTATTCTCCATGTTTTACTTTGACTCAAGCTTATTACCATCGGAGGACTACTGAGTAGATAGGACTCACTTTGCTGTGATGCTAGAGTGTGAATACCCTGTGAGATATGCTTACTTTTAGAGCTTTCTTTTTTTCTCCAAATTTTAATTTAAATTCCAGTTAGTTAACAGTGTTACATTAGTGTCAGGTGTACAATATAGGGATTCATCACTTCCATACATCACCTGGTGCTCATCACGACAAGTGCCCTCCTTCATCCCCATCACCTGTTTCCCCCAATGCCCCACCCACCTCCCCTCTGGTGACCATTGGTGTGTTCTCTGTAGTTAAGAGTCGGCTTCTTGGTTTTTCTCTCTCTCTTTCCCCCCCATGTTCATTTGTTTTGTTTCTTAAATTCCACATATGAGTGAAATCATAAGGTATTTGTCTTTCTCTGACTGATTCCTTTCATTTAGCATCATACTCTCCAGCTCCATCCCCATCATTGCAAATGCAGCAAAAAGATTTCATTCTTTTTTATGGCTGAATAATATTCCATTGTGTATATACCACGTCTTCTTTATCCATTCATCAATTGATAGACATTGGGCTCTCTCCATAGTTTGACTATTGTTGATAACACTGCTATAAACATCGGGGTGCAGGTGTCCTTGAATTAGTGTTTTCATATCCTTTGGGTAAACACCCAGAAGTGCAATTGCTGGGTCGGGTAGTTCTGTATTTAACTTTTTGAGGAACCGCCGTACTGTTTTGCAGATGGCTTAAGTCAGTGTTACAGATATGACGTGAGACTTCCATCTTCCCAGAGGCAGTGGGCCGCCGGCTGGCAGAGCAATCAAACTGCGTGCTTCTGAGTTCGACAGGCTGGATCTGCTTTCTGGGCCAGCCCCTCCCTGTGTGGCCTTCCCCACATGACTTGTGCATTCCTCTGTTTCCTCACCTACCAAGTGGCTAAATGAGAAAACCCATGAAATGAATGAGGGCAGTTCTAGTGTGTGGAAAACTCTTGCAGCTGTTTTGTTACGTGAGTGTTAGATGCTGTTAGAATAACAGCAAGTGTTTCCACTGTCATTTCTAGGATTCGCTGTGCTACCTACACACTGGGGCTGTTTCCGCTGTGTGTGGCCCTGGGCTCACCGTCTGCTGACTCCCTCTGCTTCAGCATCATCTTAAATAAAAGTTGGTGACAACACTGAAAGAAGTAGAAAATGATTCTAGGTCCAGCACTGATTGCAAAAGAATGTTTGAAAATGCTTACAAAGGGCCTCAGCGCTTACAACCCAGACTGAGACCTGGATGTCGGCTGATGTCCTGATTTTCATGCAGTCCAGTGGTGCATCCAGAACCTGTAACAGGAATGGCCACAGGGGCGCATGGGCCCGCCGTGCCCTGCCTGCCTCCTGAGCCCTCTGACTGGCCAGCCCCTGCCCCTTCCTTCCCGGTTCCCTGCAGCTTTCTGGTCGCACCCTCAGGAGCTCTGCATGGGCCCGCTGTGCGCTGTGTGCTCACACCTCTGTCTTTCCTCCCGCAGCGTCCTCCTGTGACCAGGAGCAGCAGTCGGCCCTGGAAGAGGCCAGGCAGCCCAAGAACGACAATGTGGTGATCCCTGAGTGCGCCCACGGTGGCCTTTATAAGCCAGTACAGTGTCACCCCTCCACCGGCTACTGCTGGTGCGTCCTGGTGGACACTGGACGCCCCATCCCCGGCACATCCACCAGGTAAAGCTGCACCCATGGTCCGGGGAGGGAGGAGACGGGGAAGGCAGGCCCTCGCGGGTGCCGCTGACATAGATGCCCAGCACCCAGACCTCGCTTGGCCGCTGGACCATGCTGGCCATGTGCTCACTCCCCTGCACGGGTTGCCTGTGGAAACTAGCGGCTCTGCCCATCGGAAGCTGGAGGAGACCATCTCTGACGGCCGCCAGGAGCTGCCTGTGTGAATGACAGCAGGGAGCCTGCAGGCTGAGGTCTTTACACAATGTTTGCTCCTGTCGTTATTATTCCCACAGGCTGGGATTGTGAAAGCTGGCTTGGGGATCTGGCGTGGGAGGCTCTCAGACATCACCTGCAGCTTCCTTGAGCTTCTGGTTTTGGCAAAGGGAGCCAAGCATTACACAGGCTGAAATGGCTTTCTATAGCATAAAAATAAAGACAGTGTGCTAAGGCGAGAGCAACAATCACTGTAAGGGTCTGAGATCCAAAAATTTATTCACTCCTATTTTGTGTGAGTTTGAGCAAACAGTTGCATAATCACACCTGAAGCACACGAACTACTCACAGAATTTGTAAAAACATTAGTGAAGATGTGTTTGCAGTTCTTCGTTATATGAATTGATCTTTGAATGTTCATAGATTTGTATAAAATAATTTACAAATGTACGAAAATATTATCTCTCAAAAGTTATCAAATTTAGCTACTGGTTTCATCTCTAGCACCTAGGCACAGGCATTTTGACACTTCCTAAATTATTTCCCCCAATTTTTCAAGTGTGACCATGAGACATTTCAAGGAGGAAACACTCCGTCCATCCATCCATCCATCCATCCATCCATTCACCAACGCTTCCTTCCTTCCTTCCTTCCTTCCTTCCTTCCTTCCTTCCTTCCTTCCATCCCAAATGCTAATGGTCAGCAATAGCCCATCACTATTCTAGGGACTGAGAAAAGAGCACTGACCAACAGAGCAGGTCTCCTCTCTCAGAGACTTTCTCTCCTGCTTGGGAAATGTCAGGGAAAGAGCAAATGGTACCACTTCCCACTGCAGCAAAAGGGAAGGCCTCACATCCAGCTGGCCTCAAGTCTTAACAACTCACACACCTCAAAGGTGAAGGGAAGTTCAGATTATCTCAGCAGCTCAAGGGCATCCTTCAATAAGCCATTTTTTTATTCTCCCTGCTCTGCCATCTTTGACTTACTGGCTTGCTTTTTGACCTTATCCCTGACAGGGTTTCTAGAAGCATCATCCAACATAGTTGGTACTTCTTTCTGACAGCAAGGATAGCCTTCCCCACAGACCCTCAGGGCGCCTCCCCTCACTTGAATTGGTCAGACTATCACCCGCAGACCAGGCCTACTGCTGATGGAGGAAGGGCCATTGTGGCCATCGTTTGGCACCAGGCCTGGGACAGGGCCACCACCCCAGTGCCCTCACTGTTGTGCATACTGTTCTGGGGGTGGGGGCTGTACAGGAAACAAAATGGACAAAAATCCATGCTTCCATAGGGCTTATGTTCCAATGGAAGGAAACAGACTATAGGTAGAGCACATAAGTAGATGCACCAGATATAAGTAAATATGCAGGTGAATGACAAGTGTTCTGGAGGAAAATAAACCAGAAATAGGAGAGGGCATGCTGGGGGTGGGGGTGGGGCGGTCAACTTGAATTGAATGGCCAGGGGAACTCCCTGGAAAGCTGATGTTGGAGTCAAGTCCTGAAGATGCTGGGGGGCAATCTGACGGATGTCTGTGGGAGCACAGTCCAGACAGAGGGGGTGAGAACTGCCCTGCACAATGGAGGGCCCTGCGCCAGAATCCAGTTGTTTTGGCCCAAAGGTAGGGTGTATCAATTGGGAAGTTTTCCATTTCTAATAGTGGTAAATCTGACAAGTAGGCATAAACAAGGGACTCTATTACTTCAGGTAAGAATTACAGAGATGGAGAAAGCTCCATTTCAGTTGACACTGTGATTTGGTGATGTTACTTGAGGACACAGTTGTATTTGCCCTTGGACAGACGCTTCTCATGGTCACAGGATGGCTGCGGAGATCTGGGCATCTCATCTAGACACCACAGTGCTCAGAGGATACACCGCCCACCTCTCTCTTTCTTAGGAAGCCAAACAACCTTCCCTAAAAGTCCCCTAGCAAATTTAATGCGTGGATTATTGGCCAGAATTGGATCATATGACTAAACCCATCACTGGCAAGAAAAATGGAATGAGTTTAAATTGATCTCTAGGGAGACATGGATGTTGGGAAATCAATCAAAATTATCAACATTAAGGGCTGTCTGGTAAGCTGCTGTTCAGCTTCACCAACCCACTCCTACCGCTGGTTCTCTGTGACCGGCCAGCACAGTCGCAGGAAGTCCTCCACATTACTGCCTAAGTACCCTCTGTTGCATTCGTGCTACTTTCTTGTGATTTCCTGAAATAAGCAGTTCTAGAGAGATACTTTATGGTTTTTCTTTATATTTGGGTAGACAATTCAGGTTTTCTCCCTCAATTATCCTCTCTATTTACATGTGCCGATGGGGAAGAATAATTTAAAAATCCAAGACAGAAAGAAGCCATAAATATAAAATGCATTGTCATTATAAGCCAGCTCCCTTTTCCTCATGTCACCAAGCAAGATAATTTAAATGCATGGATTTTGTTGTAGACTGTGCTGAGGACAATGAACGTATGCTGTTTGCCAGCCAAGGTAGAGAGCAGCTTCCTTCTAACGGAGTCTCTAGTTGGGATAATCACCTGGGTAGAAACATGAGTTGGACCAGGGACAGAAGCGCATCCTGGTCCTCCTGCTTTTTGGTGTCAAAAATAACATCTTGGCTACGGTGTACAGACTGCCTGTGGGCTGGGGCCCAGGCACCTGCATGAGCCCCTGCCATGCGTGGCACAATAGGATCTGGGAGGAGAGGGGTAGGTTCCAGCCTGGCCACTGCTGGGTCATGGGGAGAGCTGGAACGGGCTGTCAGGCTAAGCATGGAGCGAGCTGGTTGCTAGCTACTGCATTAGCTCCCAGAACGGAGAGATTGCTCTTTCACCGTCTTGATGGCCGATGAAGGGCTCACCACCTGCCACTGGCTTCAGGCTGTTCTTACCTCGCCTCCGGGCTGCCCCGTCCCCTGACTCCACAGACCGCCTCTCTCACTGGTCGAGTGCACGTGGCCATGTGAGCATGACATCGCATTTCTCCCTGGCAGAAAGCCTGGCATCTGATGGGCAAGCAGATAGTCAAGGGGTGTTCATTGTTTTCATACAAATAAGTTAAACACTATTGAAAAGAATGTGATGGATGTCAACACTAAATTTGGATTTCTTTTATTTGAGACTTCAAAGGCATTAGTTCTATTTCTTGAGATTGCCATTTCTGCAAGTTAAGGCATTTCCCAGTATTCTTTAAAAGAGGCAGAATACTATCATTTAAATGTACATTTTTCATGTCAGCACAGTGCTAGGATTCTTAAGGCATCTCCAGGTCAAGTTTGGAACAAAACCAGAATGACCAGTGTGGCTAGCTTCCAGGTTGCTGCAAAGTTAAAGATTCAGAATGGGGGTTTAGGAACGATATGGCCTCTTATCACCCAGGTGAAGGATGCTGGTGCTGACTTCTAGCATTTTGGAGGCTCCGCACAGAGTTCCTATTACTAGTTCAGCTTCTAACCCAACAGAGTAGCCCCCGGCTGTCCCCGAGGGGCACTCTGATATTCCTGCAAATGGGACGTCCCCAAGAACGGCCGGGCGCTTGAGTTTCCACGTCATCCATCAGGAGCTGGGACACCTGCTTGTCTTTTTACAGCTCACATTTCGTGGACCTTCAGCTGTGAAGATGCCACTGCTAGCGTAGGTGCCAAGTCGGACCTATTCCAACCCCACAGACACTGGCCCAGAGCCTGAATTGTGAGAGTTCTCCAAATTTAGCATGTGTCTGTGGACACAGGAGCGACCCTCCCTGAGCGGGCTGCTTTTGCTCATTTTCTCATGGCGAATGTTCGGCTCTCATCGGCGGCCCTGCTACAGTTGCAGCGGGGCGAGGAGTCACCCTGGTTGAGGAGGTGTGGGTCCCCTCACCCCTTGCTCACATTCTCATGACTGTGGTTCCCTCTGCCGTCTGTACTGAACCCCACTGCATTTCAAAAGAATATGAGCTAATGGCTACTGGTTAAAACGTGACAGCTTAACTATGTGCCGGAGTGTGTCAGGGACTCTTTAATTTCAAAAACAGCATTTCAAAAAGACATATTACGTTTGCGGGAGTGGGTGTTACGTTCTCTGGCATCCAAGAGGCTACTCCGGGTGGGAGGGCCGGGAGGGGCGCGGGGGCCCCTGGCTCTGTTTCAGCCGCAGCCAGCCAGCCCCGCCAGGACTGGCCACCAGGGCAAGGACACTTACAGTGTGTCCCTCGGGGAGACATTTCGTTCTCTTTTATTTCCTGTGATGGGAAAACAAAAAGTAAGGAAAAGTAAGAATCTGAAATGATCCCTACGAAGTAAGTATGAGCTCCCAGCCCTTTCTTGGGGAGTGAGAAAGGAAGATGGGGCAGAATGGGTGGTGAGGAGCCAATGAACCTTGTTCACTTCCTGGAAATCAGCGGGCCTTCAGTCCAGAACATTCCACCTGCAGCCCTGCCCACTGGCTCACACTGTCCACCCATCAGACTACCTGGGGAGCTGGGGGCAGCAGGTTCTCTGTCAGTGTCCCCACCGGATGGGGGCGGTTCTCCACGTGGCCCGGGTCTCCCCGTCTGTGGTACCCAGTGCCCAGACCACAGGCGTTTCTGAAGAGCCGCCCAAGAGCACCCGCTGTTGCCCTGGGCCTGCATGGGAAGCCCGTGAAGGAGAGGGGCCCCGGGTCCCGTCCGCTCCAGAATCACCACGGAGCCCTCTCGTGAGGGGGGCATCAGCAGCACCCACACCTCCTGCCCCCATGTCAGGACCCACCTGTCAGGCCTTCTCCGCAGTTTCTGTTCACTGGACGTGGGGCGCCACGTAGCTCTCTCTCTCTCTCTCCCCTGCCTCCCCTCCCCTTCCCTTCCCTTCCTGTTAATACAGGGACAACCTTTTGTAGCCTCATGGAGCAGATTAAGATTTAACTGGTCTTTCAGTAATACATAAATCTAAACTTCTGAGACTTTGCCTTCTTTCCTGGGCCGCACCCGCTGGCCCCCTCCCCCCAGCCCCTCCCCTCTGAACCGTGTCAAATCCTGGAACAGGTAGAGGTGGGGAGGTGGGGTGTTCGGCAGCCCCTGTGTAAGATTTGTTTCAGAAACTGGATGCAGAGGCAGAGCCCTAGGCTGTGTGCTCCTTCCTATTGACCGTGAAAAATAAGCTTGTTATAGTAAATTGTCACAGAGGTCAAAAACGGTCCTAAGTCGGGAGAAGTCGATGCCACACGTGTGCTGCAGGCCCAGAGCGGGCGCCCTTGCATGAGCACCTGAGCAACGGAAGAAAGCACCCTCTTCCAAGTGTCAAACCCGCCTTCCCCTTCTTCCCCTCCTCACAGGTACGAACAGCCGAAATGCGATAACACAGCCAGGGCTCACCCAACCAAAACAAGGGACTTGTACAAGGGCCGCCAGCTCCAAGGTGAGTGGAGACATCTACCACCGCTCTGAGCTTTCTGGCAGGTTTAGAATGAGAAAGAATTTCTCCAGCTCTGTTCCCAGTGGGGAGGGCGGTGGCCTCAGAGCAGTCAACCAGGGACCTCCTCCCCAGGGGCCTGCGGTCAGCAGACGTGCGGGGGCCCCAGGGAGCACGCACAGGTCGGCTTCACCTGTGGCCAGCAACGCTCAAGTGCCAAGTCTAAGACCCAGAGAAGCAAACAATGTCCCCTGAAATCAGAGCTTCTAAACCAAAGGACCCTTTAATTCTTTTCCCTAAAAGAAAGCAATAATTCAAATGTCATTTTCTGGCATTCCTTTTGAGTTGAATCAACAGTTCAAGAAGCTGAAGTTTAGGTTTTAATAAAACATGAGCTCAGTCTTTATATCAAGTGAGTTTAATTACAAAGTATTTCAAATTAAACAGAGGCAGTGAGTTTAATCTTATAATTATTAAAAATATGTTCGCAGAAAATGTTTTATGGATGTTATCTTTCATCAAAAAGCACAGAAGTGTTTATGATACACCAAAAATGATGATGACTTTACTAGTTAAACCTAAAGCCTTTGTTGGACCCGAGTCCCTCCAGGAATGTACGTGGGATCAAGAGCAGCAGCGGTGATTGAGGTGGCCCGGCCCGCCCGGCAGGCGAGCGTCCCGCAGTTTGGCTCATCTCATGAGATCAAGGAGTTTAGAGACACAGCTCTGACATCATGGGGTGAATTTGATGGCATCTGTAAGATGCTTCAAAGCTAGTCGCTATTTCATTTCTCTTTTGGTTCTCTTTTTTTTTTTCTTTTAAATATCTCCAGATTGTGTGTGTTTAGCCAATGCCTCAGAGACCATGAAAACCATTCTCTAATGTCCTTAGCTCAGAGCACATGTTTGATCTTAGTCTTATACCAAGTCCGGATAAATTCTGCTTAGAAAAGTGTGGTTCTTGCTTTATTTGTACTAGTATCAGTAAAGGTGTTTATGAACGAAGGTAGAAACGACTAGAATATCATCCAGACCTGTCCCAATCCGCTGAGCGACACTGGGAATTAAAGTAGCTCAGACAGAGGAAGCGGAGGGGCGGGCCGAAGGCTGCTTTCCTACCTGAACACGACTCGACCCGTCGCCCTTTGCTGCTTCTGAGATGTTCCCATGCGGGGCCGTCTCCCGGCCACGGGTCTCTCCAGTGACTTCCTTTTGATGCAGGTTCCAGGAGCCTGTGAGTTTTTATTTTTGTGATTTTTTGTCCCACCGTGTTTCTCTCTGTGTGGACAGTGTGCTGTGCGTCTCACGGATCAGGCTCCTTCCTGCATCTTGGGATGAGGAGAGAGGGAGACAGAGATCATAAAGGAGCAACCACAAGCACCCATGCGGAGTCCTAGTTAAGCACCTTTTGTATACATGATGTCTTACCCTTAGAAGGAGCTCAGTGAACAGCTGGATTGCATGCTCCCTGATGTTCTCGGACCAGGAGTTCTCCCCCTCCATCATCTGGTGTAATTTCTTGCCTCTGAAGTTAGGCCTTATCAGTGGTGGACAAGATTTTTCTTCACAGGAAACAATGAATCTAGCAGGTGTTTGGTACATGGAGAGCCTTCAGTGGATGTTTGCTGGTTTTAGCTGGTCTTAATCATGTCGCACGAATATCAATCTGTTCTTTGGCTCTAAGGGTCCAAGACTCTTAACGGTTTCTTTTTGATAATCAAAAATCGAGCTGTGTGTGGTTTTTGCACATACGATATGAAACCCAGTTCATTTACAAATGTCCAGTCTAGCTTTGCTGTTTGTTAGTAAAAGGTGCTGGGACAAGAGACAGTTCTCTTGTTTCCTCCTAGCAGTGGCATGCTTGCTAGGAACTCTTTTCACGGTGGATTCAGCGCATTAAATACCAGACCGGGCTCTTGATTTAAAGATGGGGATGGTTGTGGCTTGTGGGAGCAGCTGCTCGTCCAATTGAGAAACACAAGGGGTGTCTCATTGGCTGGTCTGTCAGGAGTGTGGTCCGGGGTGTCCGGGAGCTCGTGGTGAGAAGGCATCCCCAGAGCAGGAAAGCCAGCCCCCTGGCCAAGCGGGAGCAGGATTATTAGGCTGTCCTGGCAGAGATGCCCCTCTTCGCCCATACCTTAAATAAAAACCAGAGTCTCCAGGCACACAAGCCACTTTATGCAAACCGTGTAATGGTCAGCTCGGTACTGCTCATGACCACTTCATCATTTTGATTTTTGGAGATAATTATCCTTATTAGGGAAAAAACAAGTAGGTCTTGGAAGGACTCCAGGAGAGAGGCTGTTCTTGGTGGAGAGGAAACTGTTTCCAGAAGAGCACTGTGGCAGCTCCGTGAGCCCACATTTAGGCAGATGCAGTTTCTTCTTAAAAGGTGCAGTGTTCATTTTCAGGGGCTAAGTCCCAGCCAGTGAGGGTCCTTTATTTTCCAAGCCGAGCTGATAACCTTCTCCCACGTGGCCCACTTGTTTCGAGGGTTTGTTGACTGTCAGATGCTTATTCCTGCTGTCTCTGGGGGTGGTTAGGACCTTCCACAGCTCTCACCCACGGACGGGCAGCATCTCCCTATAGAGGACGGTCGACATCCAGCCTAATGGGTCCCTTGTTGAGACCTGGGTCATTATTTGGTCTCTTTTATTCCATAAGTTTCCTTACAGGACCTGTCATCACATCCTGACAGAAGTAAAAACCTAGAGTGGTAGAAATTTTAAAGGTTTTATTTTTATTTATTTGACAGAGAGAGAGAGAGAGAGAGTGCACAAGCAGGGGGCGTGGGAGAGGGAGAAGCAGGCTCCCCGCTGAGCAGGGAGCCCGGTGCGGGGCTCGATCCCAGGACCCTGAGATCATGACCCAAGCCAAAGGCAGACGCTTAATGACCCAGCCACCCAGGGGCCTGGACAAAGGCATTAGATCATACCTTTCCCGTCTACAAATTTGCGTTCGTTCTTTCTGTCCTGGCATCTTTCCCTCCCATCTCTTTGTACATCCAGCCCATGTGCTCCAGCCTGCCCGCCCCCTTACCTCTGCAGGAGCGCAGGAGCCAGATGTGGGGCTCTCCGTGCCCGGGCCTGCTCAGGTCCCTTCCCCCTGGGGCTGGCTCCTTCACCATCCCACTGTCCCTGTGTGGCCTCCAGGACTCAGCTTCTTAGGGAGGCTGTCCTGGGCTCCTGTCCGCGGGGCACGGCCCACCGTATGAGTCCCCAAGGCACCCGCAGTCCGCGGACTGTGTGCGGTGTCGCACGCCCTCGTGGCCTCTGAGAGCTGGGGCTGAGCTGCCAGGGGCCCGCCAGCCGGCGCAGCACGGAGCACACAGGAGACGGCACGCAGGAAAGAGTTTGTCGGAGGACACTCGGCTGTGATTCTTCTCCTGCTCGAAGCCTTGGGCTGTTCTGTACTGAGTGATAATGTGTGGTTTTGCTGATTGGAAGGGTGTGCATTGTGAGTCTCGGGTACCCGGAGGGGTCTAACGTGGGGGGAGGACAGCCTGATGGGTAAGGGCCCATCATTCCTGCTGGGCCTCCGTGTGCTTGCCGCCAGGTGGAAGGAGGAAGGGCACGTGTTCCCCCCTCCTCCGTTCTGGGCAGCACCTGCAGCATCGTGACGAGACTGACCGACCCGCCCCGTGGCCCCAAGGCCCCCAGAGGTCACACACGCACCGACTGCAGGCACGAGATGCAGGTGGGGCAGAAGCCAACTGAGATGCCGCACCTGCCGGCAATGGGGACCCCCTCCCCCACCACAACACAGCGTCTGTTTGAGTCCACAGACACAAAAATCTCCTCTCTTAAGGCCCCCGGTGACTGCAGGTGTAAAGGAATCTTTGATTCAGTTAGCAACCCTAAAAGCACCCCTGCATTTTTCAAGTAATATTTTAGCACTATTCTAATTTTTTTCAAAGTTAATTATGATTTTCTGAGGTAGCATAAAATGATCCTTCCTTGCCCTGAGCATAGCTTAAGATATTTTTCAAAAGGTAATTAGACTCTCCAGGTCTATCCATGTTGCAAATGGCAAGAGATCATCCTTTTTGTGGCGGAGTAACACTCCGCTGTGTGTGTGTGTGTGTGTGTGTGTGTTTGCCGGTGCGCGTGCACCTCTTCTTCATCCATTCGCCTGTGGGTGGACCCTGGGGCTGCCTCCATGTCTTGGCTTATTGTAGATAATGCAATAAACATAGGGGTGCATGTACCTTTTCAAATTAGTGTTTTAGTGTTTTCATTTTGTTTGGGTAAATACCTAGTAGTGCAATTGCTGGGTCCTGGGTAGCTCTATTTTTAAGTTTTTGAGGAGCCTCCATACAGTTTACAGAGTGGCTGCACCAGCTTGCATTCCCACCAACAGTGTAAGAAGGTTCCCCTTTCTCCACATCCTCGCCAATACTTGAGCATCTTTCCATGTGTCTGTTGGCCATCTGTATGTCTTCTTTGGAAAAAGGTCTGTTTAGGTCCTTTGCCCATTTTTAATCAGATTATTTGTTTTTCTGGTGTTAACTTGTGTAAGTTCTTTATATATTTATGATGTTAAGTGAATAAGTCAGACAGAGAATGACAAATACCATATGATTTTACTCATATGTGTGATTTACTCATATGTGTGAGACAAACAAAAAACCAGACTTACGTACAGAGAACCATCTGGTCACCAGAGCAGAGGTGAGCAGGGAGGCGTGAAGGAGATATAAAGGGATTGAGAGGCACAGACTTCCAAAATACAAAATAAGTCACGGGGATGAAAAGTCCAGCACAGGGAGTGTGGTCAGTAATTCTGTGCTAGTGTTTACTGACAGACGGTGACCACACCGACATGGGGAGCACCAGGGGATGTGCGGAGTTGTGGGGTCATGGTAGCCTACTCCTGAAGCCAATACAACACTATATAATACAATAATAATATAATTAATATAATATAATATAACATAATATAATATAATATAATATAATATAATATAATATAATATAATATAATATA